GGAAAAAACCGAGACTTCATGGCTTTCGCGTGTCGGGCCCTGGGAGGCGATATTCGTTCGACACTGTTTCGATACGTTTCTGGGTGCTCGAAATTATTTATGTGATGTGGTCCTTCAGTACGACGGGAGCAACATAAGCCAATGCCTGCTTTTGTGCTCCTTCCGGTGGACGGGGCTGGGCCGAGGAAAAATCCGTTCCTGATCGTTCCGGAGCGCTCTCAGAGCATTCTGGGACGCATTGAGAAGGCCGCGGCGCCCGAGACGTCCTCCAGAGCCGCTGGACCTCAGAGTTTCTCGATCTATCCCCACCCGAAATTATCGGCGTCCTGGCTTCGACTTATTCTTCTCGGCGCGTGGAGGTCAGGATTCCCAGAGGCCCTTGAGATGGGAGCAACATAAAACTAGGAAACTCGAGGCCTTTCCCCCATCCCTGCTAGAAAAAACAGTGCATAACGCACGTGGCGGCAGACGTGTGGATCGTGAGCGGGGCCCTCGCAGAGCACACTGCCCGTTGCAGCTTGCGAAGGCCTTACGGCCGGTGCCGCCGTCTCCTCCTCCTCCTCCTCCTCCTCCTCCTCCTCCTCCTCCTCCTCCTCCTCACCCTCCTCCTCCCCCTCCTCCTCCTCCTCCACCTCCTCCTTTTCCTCCTCCTCCTCCTCCTCCTCCTCCTCCTCCTCCTCCTCCTCTTCTGAGAACGACGACGACGACGATGCGTCGTCAAGTTGCGTCGTTTTTTGTCATTCCTCGACATCTGTTTCCGCGGGCCGCTTCCAGGCCCCTGCGGCTTTCAAAACATGTCCCGGGTCCTTGGCGTGTTATCGGATCCAGTAAACAGCGGCCCCGGCGCTGACTGCTTACTGGCACCTCATCGAGCAGCCCCGGCGCTGACTCGACGGGCGTTCCCTCGGCATGATTTTGCGACCAAAGCACAGCGGGCAGTGGAGGAGGCGAAGGAGGATGGGGGAGGAGGGCGAGCAAGAGGAAACCGCCTCCGCGGTCGTCGCCGACTTGCATCGTTTTTGTTTTTCCTGGAAAAGCGGGTTCCGGGGGCCGCTTTCGGGCCGCGAGCTTTCAAAAATGGGTCCAGGACCCTTGGGATGTTATCGGAGCTGGTAAGCAGCGGCCCTGGTGCTGACTGCTTACTGGTGGCCCATCGAGCAGCCCCGGCGCTGACTCGATGGGCGTTCCCATAGCATGATCTGGCGGCGAAGGCAGAGCGGGCACAGGGGGAGGCGAAGAAGGACTCGGGAGGCGGAGGTGGAGGAGGAGGCGACTCGGGAGGCGGAGGCGAAAAAGGATTCGGGAGGTGAAGAAGGATTCGGCCCGTTTTACTCTCTTGCCTTCGTCATCCCGTTGCCTCTTGCCCTCATACTCTCGCAAGCCTTTTTGCTATTTTTTTGTCAGAGCCTTCGGGCGGGGGGTCAGGACCAAAGAGTTACCACTCGGAGCTTTCAGGTGGGAGGCGTAGGGTTACCAGTCAAATCCTGCAGGCGGGAGGTCTGGACCAAAGGGTTACCAGTTAGAGCTCTTAAGTTGATGCACGAGCCTGAAGCCACTCGCCAACAGCTGCCTGCAACGCCACAGGCGGACAAATCCTGCCCCCCCCCTGTGGACTCCAGAGGCGCAAACAAATATCGCGAACTCGGTGCGCGGGTGATTTTCCGCCACTGCTTAGGAGAACGCTCTCCCAACAAAACGTGGCTCAGTTCCCTGCCGCACGCATCAAAAGAAGCAGCCGCGAGGAGGAGGAGGAGGAGGAGGAGGGGGAGGAAGAGAGATTAACAAATCCTTTGGTGCGCTACGCAAGCCAACCTGCTATAGGCGAGCCGTGGCGCGCAACTGGGGATTGGGGACACCGACAAAACTGCATAGTTGACCAACTATCTGGGAGGGAAGAGAGTCCACCGGCCCAACGATACGACTTCCCAAGTAAAACGTATCAGCCTGAATGGGCACGCGCTGCGTGCAAGCCCCTGTAGCCCAACCGGCCCAATCTAAATCCACCGCGACAGGTGACTGAAGGGAGGAAGAGAGCACGGAGGAGGAGGAGGAGCAGAGGTAGAGAAGACAGACGTCCAGGCCGAGCCCAAGGGGGGCGGCGCCTAGTGAGGGAGAGCCTCACGAAGATTTGGTAAACATGCGAAGCACAACGAACTACCACAAAATCCGAACATGCAGAGGGGAGGGGAGGAGAGGAATAGCGGACACTAGCGAGCATGAGCAGCCGCACCTTCTGCCAATGGGCGCTCCGTGCCCCGGATTCCTTCGCGCGCGTATTCACCATATGCGCCTGCGATGTCTGTGACTTCCAGGTGCCCATGTCGACGCGCATTGTGCACCCGGTAAACGCTGTAAATATGGAGGGCCCACTGGACAATGGCATCGGAGTGCATCCTCAGAGCTCCCAGATTCAGGAACCAGTCCAAGCCTTCTTGCTATCCTGACGTTTGACTCTTTTATTCTCTCGGCCGCTTTACCCTCTCAACCTTCTCAGCGCCCATGCCATCTTACTCATCTTGACCACCCTAACGCTCCTCGCCTTCCTGACGCGGAGGGGGAGGGGGCAGGGAGAGATGCATGGATGGCTGGCTGCGGGAGGCGATCGCCGCGCGTTCCGGGTCCCGTCGTCGGAAAGAATGCACAGGGGGAACGAGGAAGGAAAAAAGAAGCAAGAACGTAAGTTGACGTTCTTGCTTTCTTTGCGATTGGAGCGATACACACTGCAGGAGCATGATAAAGAGCCACCGTCTTCACCGTCTGACCGCTTTACTTCCATGCCTTCGTCATCCCCTTTTCCTCTTGCCCTCTTTCCCTCGTAATATGCGTTTTTTCCTTTCGGCCCTCTTGCTATCTTGCCGCCTGATTCTCTCATCGTCTCGGCCTTCTTACCCTCTCAATCCTCTTCGCCCCCTGCCTTCTAGACGCGCGACGGGCCCAGGCGTCGGACAAAAACTCCCGGGGAAGGAGGAGGGAGAAGCGAAGCAATAACGTAACTTGATGTTATTGCTTCTTCTGCGATTGGCGCAATACGGACGGCAGGATGATGATGATGAGTCACCGTATTTACCACCTTACCCTTTTACCCTCTTGCCTTCGTCATCCCCTTTTCCTCTTGCCCTCTTACCCTCGGGATTATGATTTCCTTCTCTTAGCCCCATTTCTATCCGGCCGTCTGACGCTCTTATTTTCTCAGCCCTCTTACTCCCCAATCCTCGTAACGCCCGTGCCCTCTTAATCATTTTGAACATCCCCACCGCCCTCGCCGTCCTGACGCGAAGGGGGAAGGGGGCAGGGAGAGATGCATGGATGGATGGGTGTGGGAGGATATCGCCGCGCGTTCCAGGCCCCGTCGTCGGAAAGAAGGTACAGGGGGACGGAAGAGGGAAAAGCGAAGCAAGAACGTAAATTGATGTTCTTGCTTTCTTTTCGATTGGAGCGATAGTGACGGCAGGGGGAGGATGAGGAGTCACCGCCTTCACCATCTTACCCTCTTACCTTTCTGCCTTGGTCATCCCCTTTCCTCTTGCCCTCTTACCCTCGTGATGCTCTCTTCCACTGAGCCCTCTTACTACCTTGCCGTCTGATCCTCTTATGGTGTCAGCCCTCTTACCTTCTGATTCCTCCTAACCCCCTGCCGTCTCAATCATCTTGACCATCCTAACCCTTTTCGTCTTCCTGACGCGGACAAGGGAGGGGCAGGGAGACTCCGATGCGCTTCCGAGGCTTCCGAACCCCCTTAGAGGCTCACAGCGCGCCTTCAAGAGACCCCAGAGGCCCCAGAAGGTGTCCGGGCAGCGCCAAGAAGCTCCAGAGAGGCCCCCAAGAGGCTCCCAAACATGCCCTCCAGAGGCTCCCAAGCCCCCCCCCAGACGCCCCCGAAGAAGCCCCCGACACGCCCCCATATGCCTCCAAGACGCCCCCACTGCACTCTGGCTGCGTCTCTCTCGTTTGCTCCCACGGGGGCTTCTTCGCGGGCGCCGTCCATTCAGATCAGCCTACGGACGCGCGAGTCAGCTCTGTCCTGTTCGTCCTTGTCTTCCTGACCAGCACGGGTCCAGGGATACTGACAGATTTCGCTTGCATTGCGCAGCATGCAGCTGCGACCTTTTCGGTTGCCACGTCATGGTGTTGTCTGCCCTTCCCTCTCCTCTTCCTCCTCTTTTTCCTCTTCTTCCTGCTGCTGCTGCTCCTTCTCCTCCTCCTCCTCGTCCTCCTCCTCCTCCTCCTCCTCCTCCTCCTCCTCCTCCTGTCGCCCGTTTTATATACCAATGCGACCACCCTTCGGGTGATAAAGGGGGTTGTGGGCTGGATTGGGCCAACTGGAGCTACAGCATAGCATAGCATAGCATATAAAACACCGCGTAACATAGCATCGCATAGCATAACATATCATCGCATGGCATTGCGCAGCATAGCATCGCATTGCAGAGCACACCAACCTATCGCGTAATATTGCATAGCGCATCAAAGCATCGCATATCGCAGCATATCACAACATATCATAGCACAGCGTTGCCAAGCATGACATAACATTGTTTGGCAAAGCACAGCAGCGCATCGCATCGCAGAGCGTGGCACAACGTAGCATAGCATAGCATAGCGTAGCATAGCGTAGCATAGTATGGCATCGCATAGCATAGCATCGCATGCCGGAGGCTTACCAGAGCCTCGGAGATTCCCCTCCGGGTTCCCCGGACTCCCCAGGCCCCCTGGACTCCCCGGACTCCTTGGACTCCCATGGGCTCCCTGGACTCCCAGGGCTCCCTGGGCCCCCTGGACTCCCCGGACTCCCCCGGACCCCCCAGACTCCCCAGACTTCCCGGACTCCCCAAGAAAGGTCATCTGCGGCATACATAATCAAAAAACATATGCCCCAACACCTCATCATCTATAGTGTGTGCTTATAGTTACGTTTACGTTGCCGCTAGTACTCAAGTGGTTCGGAGGGCGCTCCCCTGCGATCGCACGCGGTCGGCACATTGCCGCAGTGCTTCGAGCTCATGACCGCCCAAGCCAATGTCCAGCAGTTCAGCGATGAGATGAAGGATGCATGGGAGGTTGTGAACAAGCACTTCGACCCAGAAGAGATCCTAGGCTCCGTTGTGGCGGACGTCGTTTCCAAGCACGCGGTGCGGGCATCTCAGCATGAGCTGCCATGCGCCATGTCCATGATGGCGGGGTGCATTTCCATGGCCAACGGCGGCGGGGTCAGCGTGTTCCCCAACAGCCCGTTGCCGCTCATGATGGCTGTTCCGAACACAAACTACCCACAAACGCGGAAGTCAGCTATCACAGCAGCTGCCGCGATGCTCGGGCGCGCCATGGACAAGCGCGCCAACAAGAGGGCACGCGCTGCGATGGGCCCTGGAGCGAAGGCCAAGACTTCTGCGCTCGCCAAGTTCACGGAGGCTGCCTTCTGGGAGGGGTGCGCGCCCGACTTCCAGCAAGTGCACGTGCCCGCGAAGCGCTCGGAGGAGCAGGGCGCGCCAGACCCCGAACCTGATGACGACGACCTCGCCCGGACCAACCACGGGACCCTGTTGAACTTAGACGAGGCGTATAAAATGCTTCGGATGCTGGGGATGATCGCGGACGCTGGCAGCAAGAAGGATTCCCTAGAAGTCACGGACCTGGCGTCCGACTTCAATCGCCTGTTCCAGACAGGAGTCGCCGCCTACACAGCGAAGACGGCTGGGTCATTCGGCCAAGAAACAAGAGCAAGTGTATGCCTCGGCGTCGCGGGGAACGCCCACCCAGCTATCACCGTCCCCATGGAGAGGGGGGACCTCGATAATCACCGCGTGGCTGTGCGGGAGCGCTGGATCATCCTGACTGCCCCCGTGGTCGAACCCCACGCGCCACTTCCTGACGACTCCGTCGTGCCCTCGGTCTCCCCCAAATGGTCGTGGCCCGAACTCATGTCGACGAGGGTGGAGCCGCTCGGGTTTCCTCCGGGCGCGGACGTCCCGGAGATCGCCGCGAACACGCTCCCGCGCGCCAGGGATGTGCCTCATTCGGACGCCGTTGCCCACGAGTCCCAGAGCGGCGACGAGTACTTGCCTGGCGTTGAAGGCCTCGGTGTTTGCAGAAGCGCCCCAAGGCGATATTTCTCCCGCGATGCCAGAGTGGTTCCCCGTTCCTCCTAAAAACTGCAAGGGCCGCAGTGCGGGCGCGAGGGGCCTGCTGGCCCCCAATGGGGCCAGGGGCGCGCGAGCCCGCGGGCGCTTCGGCCAATTCCGGGGAGGATATTACGTGCAGTTCGCAGACGGCACGGAGAGTCGCATTCGCTTCAAGAGGGTTTCCGGCAAATGGTGCCCGACGTTCCGGGTGCCAAACAGAGACGCCCCTGTGCTCGCCAACGAGAGCATGGACAGCATCGCGGCGAGGGTGCTCGACATGTTCGAGACGCCGGGCATCCAGCTCGGGTTCTCCAAGAAGGGGCTCTTGGCCTTGCGCGGCTTCCACGCCATCTTCAACGCCAGGCGCGCCCAGGCGCGCAATGCAGACAGGGTCTCCCTGTCCGCGCGTCTCGGCATCGCCCCGTGGCACCTGGCGATGCTCTCTGCCGGCCTTGCCATCCTCGAAGTCGGGTCGGCGCGCGCGAGCCCCCAAAGCTCGCCCTGGCGCCCGCGGCGCCTGGCGCCGGCGGGCCCGACGGCGTCGCTGGAGAAGCCCCGGCAGGCGAGGAAGTCCCCGCGGCGCAGGGCGTGCCCGAGGAAGTAGATGAAGGCATCCGGGGGCCGCGCTGCCCGGACTTCATCGAGGACGCGCGCGTCGTGCGGGCGCACAGGCTCCTTGCCGTGCTGGACGCCATTCGCTCTTGCTGGCGCACCAAGGGGGGCGCGGACACGCCCGAGGAGCGCCTCCGCAGAGCCGAAGTGGCCGAAGAACAAGCTTGCCTGCAGCAGGTTCGCGGCCCGCCTGTTGCCAGCGACGGGGCCGCGGAGGCGGGCTTCCTCGACTACGCGCCGAGTCAGACACAGCCCGGGCGCGAGCCGCGCGCGGAGGCATCGGCCGCCGCAGCCGCAGAGCCTTCGGGCGGCGCAGGCGAGGGTGGATCGCAGGTCGCGCCTGCGGCCTCTGCCCCGGCTGCGCGCGGGGCGTCTGGCGCACCTCAGTGCCTCCTCCCCGCGGGCGCGGACGTCCCAGCGATGGACGTCGGTTTCGGCGTGGGCGGGGCGTCGGTGCAGACGCCCATTCCCAGCATGACCATGGTACCAGACAGGCAGTTGATACAGCGCGTCCTCCTCCGTGGCGAGGCCCCGGCAAGCCTGCGCAAGGTGCGCGATGCGGTGAAGATGAAACCCGACGGCTCCAGCGCGCAGGTCACGAAGCCGATGGGCCTGAAGTCTGACCAGTGCACCATTGTCGCCAAAGCTGCCCTCGACCTCTTACAACGTCGCCGAGTTCGACCCGCAGGGCTGGGTGGCCGAGCGGGATCGCGGCGCGGCAGTTCGCTTGCGCCTGCCGAACCCCGAGGACGGCACGGCCGTCGCGAAGTACCACAACCTGTTGATGAAGTGTTGCCGGGTCGCTTCTCCAGGTCATCGAGCAGCGCGAGGAGAGGGGCGGGGGCTCTCACAGGGCCCTCCGCGGCCGACCCGCGCCCGCAGCGCCGCCCCAGGGCGCCGCGGCCCGCGCCACTTCGGGGGGCGCTTCGGGCGCAGCAGCGGGCGCAAGCGCAGGCGCGGCGCCTGGCGGCAATCCGTTCGGTGACCTCGCGGATTAGCTTGCGCGGGCTGTGCGGGTGACGGCGCGGCCCGTGCCGCGAACCCACTAGGGGACATGGGATGTTGCGGGCAAGGACACCAATGCGCGCGAGGACGCCGCGGGCTGCTTTCCGCTCGCGAGCACGCCGGGCCGGCTGCGGGGCCGGACCCAGTTTTCAACCCCATTGTTCCATTTCTGCCGGGCCGTCGTTTGCAGCGGATCTCATGCGGGCGCCCGCGCGAGTGAAAAAAGCATGCCCACAGTGTCTCGTTTCGCCCGCGTCGGCCGAGTCCGGGGGGGCGCGCGCGCGTTTGCCCGTGCCCCGGCGCGCAGTCGCGCCGCAGAACATCTCGTTGACTCGCGCCCACTGCCCCCCTCCCAACTCCGTCGCCCGTAGCCGCATGGGCTCAGTCGCTTTCGGCGGAGATTTCGGCGCGCGCAGGCTTCGGGCGTCCATGGAAATTTGTTCCTCTTCCGATTCTTGCTTGGGGTGCAGGGCCGCGCTGCGCCGCGAGCCCGCTCGCTCCCGCGAGGGCATCCTCTTGCTGGTGGGCGGCTGGAAGAAGATCGTGCACTTCCCCAAACGTTGTCACAATGTGCGCTGCGGCCGCAAGTACCGCGCTGCCTGGTACAACTACATCCAAATTGGGACGTCACGGCACTGGCACTGCCACGATGGCGACCCGTTGTGCTTCTTTCTCAACTCCACAATTGGGTTTTCTTTCGACTGGCTACGGCAGTTCCATTGCCGCCTTGTCTACCAGCGCGTCAGTTTCACGTCGGAGGCCCAAGTGCACCTCCGGATTGCAAGAATGCGCGGCGTGGCTTCCCTTGTCCCGACCCGGTCAGATGACTACATGGCAAAAGTGTGGATTCTCTGGCGGGTACTGGTCCGCGCCCACGCCCGCGCCGTTCAGTCGGGCGCCGATCCAGTGGACTCTGTCGGATCGATTGATCTTGCATCACCTGCGCCTGATATTCTGCGCGGGATCGGCCCATGGTACCACGGCGCAATGGAGGCCCAAAGGGCGAGGCAATTTCACGCTGGTGAGAAGGACGCCACATTATTAGTCATGGATGGGAACCAGAAGCTCCGTCGCCGCGTCTGCGGTTATCCGCATTGCGAGCGCGCCCATTCGAAATCGCTGGGCCTTGGAATGTGGCGCTGTTGTTCCGAGGCCCCGGCGCAGCAGCCGGGGAAGAGGAAACGCTCTGGCGCGCGTGGCAGCGACGCCGCCGAGGGCGGCGAACCGCCGCCGCCGCATGGCGGCGACGCCGTTGAAGACGGCGAACCGCTGCTCTTGGCGCGCCGGCAAGTTGCCCGTTGCCCCGCTCATGCATCGGCAACGGGCCTGCCTGGCCCGCGGGCGAGGTCCTACGATATCCCCTCGCATCGGCAGAAAAGCGCCCTCACCGACTCGGGCAGGCCAGTCTTCGAGCTGATGGTCCGCAACAAGTTATTCCGCTTGCGGCAGAAGCACGCAGCTGCGCACCGGCAGCAGAATGCGTGGCTGCCAGCGGACCAGCTCAACGCTGCCGCCGTTCACGCTTACCTGCCCACGATTGCTGTCAGCGGGAACTTATCCCAACACAGCGAGGAGCAAGCATTAGGTCAAAGCTCCTGCAAAACCCACAAGGAAGACATAAAGACGAAACGGATGACCGCGCGGAGTGGCGGTTGGCTCTTCGCCATATCTGCGTCTGGATGCATTGTCCACCTGGACGAATTCATGGGGGCTGAGAGCATCACCCAACGCTACATGTTTGTGGCACGCTGCTGCGACATACTCCCTGGCCTCGAAGTCCTGGTTCACGACGACGCCTGCCACCTGTTCCGGTTCGCGCTCCTCAGAGACGGCCAGAGCGACATGGCAACGAATATCTCCAAACTGCGCTACATCACCGATCCCTTCCACTCCAAGGGGCACGTCTGGAACTGGTGTTCGGAGAACTGCGCGCCGACTTTGCCCGGCAACGCCGCGCGGCTGGCTGGCGTCAATGCCAATGCGTGTGAGCATCGATTTCGTGACCTCGGGCACTACAGAGAGAACGTCAACGCCATGGGGAAGGAGTTCGCACGTTTCTTCTTGACAGAAATGATGGATTTTCGAAACGTAGATTGGCTCCGACGCGTGAGATCAGCTCCGTAGACATGTTTCACTTGTCTTCGATTTTTCCAGATATGCACTCATGCGCCGATACCTGGTAGCATTCGGCCGCATTCTATATGCATACTCCCGGGGCGGACGGCCGGGGCCCTCAAGGGCAAATGCCCCATGCTTCCCGCATCCTCGCCAGCCCACCCAGGAACGAAGCTTATCCAGAAGAGGCCCGCCGGATGCCCCCAAGACGCCCCCAGTGCACTCTGGCTGCGTCTCTCTCGCTTGCCTTTGCGCGGGCTCTTGCGCGGGCGCTGTCCGTTCGGATCGGCGAACACCCCTCGGGGGATAAGGGGGTTGGGGCGTGGGAAGGGGGCCAATCGGAGTTCAAGCATAGCATGGCACCTCATAGCATAGCATCGCGTAGCGTCGCATAGAATAGCATCTCATAGCATAGCGTTGCTTGGCATAGCGCAGCATAGCATTGCACAGCAGCATCAACACCAGGGGGCACCCCCCTGGACACCCGCGGGACAGTCGCGGGCCACCGCGGGACATCGCGAGACACCACGGGAAACCCACGGGACACGCGCGGGACACCTGCGGGACATCGCCGGCCAACCGTGGGGGGGCAACATTCAGCCCAGCATTCCTCTCGCCAGCCCAAACGGCCTCGACTCGCCCGCACACACGACACGAACACGACACCGATACCGATTTCCCGGTGGGGGGCTTTCCGTTCCACGCGATATTTCCCCAACCTCCAATCATGCCGCATCGTTTCAGGGCTCTTTTCAATGACGTGTGCGAATTTGCACCCACCTTTTACTACTCCTTCTCACGCTGCGGCGCTGCCTTGCGGCGCTGGTGCGCAGTCATCCGAGTTAGGGTCACTCACTCTTGCTGTCGAGGAAAAACCATTGACAGAAGGGCCTTCCCCCTGCCCTCATTCCCTCCCCAAGCCCACCCCCGGGAGCGCGTCGCTGGCGACGACACCGTCGTCGTCGTCGTCGCCGTCGTCGCCTTCGTGGTCTCCGTCGTCTTTGTCGTCGTCGTCGTCGTCGTCGTGGTCGTCGTCGTCGTCATCGTGGTCGGAGTCGTTGTCCAACCATTCTCGTCGCCACGGCTGGGCGTGGCTCGGCAGGTTGGCCAGCATTAACACTACGAGGTTGTCCTGCGGAGCGTTTCTCGGCGGAGTCGCACGCGTTCAAAAGAGGAGAAGCCCCAGGCAAGGAGGGCACTGAATCGGAGGAGGAGGAGGAGGAGGACGACGACGACGAGGAGGAGGAGGAGGGGGAGGAGGAGGAGGAGGAGGAGGAGGAGGAATAAGTGAAACAGAAGAACGAGGAGCAGGAGGAGGACGACGACGATGACAAATGTGAGTACGAGGAGGAGGAGGAATAGGAGGAGGAGGAGGAGGCGGAGGAGGAGGAGAAGGAGGAGGAGGAGGTGAAACAGAAGAACGAGGAGCAGGAGGAGGACGACGACAATGACAAATGGGAGAACGAGGAGGAGGAGGAGGAGGAGGAGAAGGAGGAAGAGGAGGAGGAGGAAGAGGAGGAGGAGGAGGACGAAGAGGACGTGGAGGACGAGGAGGACGAGGGGGACGAGGAGGACGAGGAGGACGAATGATGATGACGACGGCGCCGATGAGGATGATGCTGATGGTGACGATTGTGATGATCATGATGATGATGGGGTTGATGATGGTGATGGTGATCTTTCGGAGGGCGACGACGAGGATGGCGGTGAGGATGATGATGGTGATGCTGATGATGCTGATGATGCTGATGATGATGATGATGATGATGATGATGATGATGATGATGATGATGCTGATGCTGATGCTGATGCTGATGCTGATGCTGATGATGATGCTGCTGATGCTGATGCTGATGCTGATGCTGATGCTGATGCTGATGACCGGACTCCCTGGACTCCCCGGACTCCCCGGACTCCCCGGACTCCCCGGACTCCCCGGACTCCCCGGACTCCCCCGGACTCCCCCGGACCGGAAGACAAAGCCTCGTGGCTATTCTGGGGCCGCCCTGGTGTGGAACTGTCAGCGATTTTCAAGTGACTGGTCGTGTCTATTTTCATGTCCCGCGCATCATATTATTTATCAGTGTTTCGTTTGCGTTGTGATGGTCGCGGTGTATATTTTACGCGTTTTAGACATGTTTAGACATTTTTAGCCACGGAATTAAAAATGTTTAGCCACGAATAGCCACAAAATAGCCACGGCATGACATTTAGCCACGTTTAACCATTTTTAGCCACGTTTAGCCATGTTTAGTCACGGGCGCGAACGAGTGTTTTGCATGCGAAAATTATAGCCACGTTTAGACACGAAATAAACACGCATGTCTTCTAATCCGAACATGTGCGAATGAATGTGTCAAGGCTCCCGAAGCGGTGGAACACAGATGAGGCTTGGCCGTTACCTGTGGCAGGAGGAAGGGGAAGACGGAGGAGCAGGCAGAGGATGAGCACGAGAAGGTACGGAGGGAGAGACGTGGAGGGGTAAGCGGATGAGCGGGGGAATATGAGGATCAGGACCAGAAAAAGCATAGGGGAGGAATAAAGGCACGACGACGAATAATAATGATAAGGTTAAGAAGGAGAATAACAACAATGAAATTCACGAAGACGATGACGAAGACAATGACGACGACGACGACGACGACGGCGGCGGCGGCGGCGGCGGCCGCCGCGGCGGCGGCGACTGCTACGACGACGACGACGACGACGAAAGATCTGCAACTGCCTTGGTTGTTGCCTCCTGTCGATCGTCGCCGTCGTCGTCGTCCTCGTCGTCCTCGTCGTCGTCGTCGTCGCCGTCGCCGCCGCCGCCGCCGCCGTCGCCGCCGTCGTCGTCGTCGTCGCATTCGTTTTCGTATTCGTCGTATTCCTCTCCGTCGTCGTCGTCGTCGTCGTAGTCGTTATGCTCGACATCATCGTGTCCAACTTCCTCCCCCACCCTCGTCCTCTTTTTGCTCCTTCTCCCTCCCCTCTCCTCCGTTTCCTCCTCCTGGCGCGATGCGGGTGTGTCTTGTCTTGCTTGTCTTTGTGGGGCAACCTGCTTGATCGTGCGGGCAGCGATATTTAGCGTTTTCCCCGTCTGGGTCGCGGTTGTATATTAGCCACGTTTAGCCACGAAATAGCCACGGCAGTGAATCGATTTTAGCCACGAATAGCCATGTTTAGACACGATGTTTTTAGACACGGCATTTTTTAGACACTGCCAAGTTTTTAAACATGTTTAGCCACTCGCAAGCCACGCCCAAGCGAGAAGCACGCGCGGCTAAACCCGGCTAAAACTTATGATTTTAGACACTTTTGCACCGCGCTCAGGCGAGAGCAACGTCCCGGCTAAACGCGGCTAAAAATTTTAGCCGCGTCTTCCAGGGCGGACTCCCCAGACTCCCAAAACTCCCCAAACTCCCCGGACTCCCCGGTCTCCCCGGACTCCCCGGACTCCCCGGACTCCCCCAGACTCCCCCGGACTCCCCCGGACTCCCCAGGACTCCCCGGACTCCCCGGACTCCCCGGACTCCCCGGACTCCCCGAACTCCCCGGACTCCCCGGACTCCCCCGGACTCCCCCGGACTCCCCCGTACTCCCCGGACTCCCCGGACTCCCCGGACTCCCCGGACTCCCCGGACTCGACCCAGATGCGCACCGCTCTCGGTCCCTGCTGCAGTACGGCCCCTCCTTTGATCGATCTCCTCCAAGATGGCCCCCGAGGCTACCCAAGGGTGTACCAAGAGGGCTCCAACAGGTGCCTCCCAAGAAGCTCACAAGAGACTCCCACGAGGCTCCAAGAGGCCCCCCAGCGTCCCCAAGACGCCTCAAGAGGCCCCCAAGAAAATCTCGAAAGAAATCCGAAGAGACTCCCAGAGGCATCCAAGCGGCCTCAAGCCTTGCTGCTCGCCCTCCTCGTCCTCCTCCTCCTCGTCATCGTCCTCCTCCTCCTCCTCCTCCTCCTCCTCCTGGTGGGGTTACGCGAAGAATCTAGAATAGCGTTCTCGAATCGCACCGTCTTTTGCACGTCCGCTCCTTGACGCTACTGCCACGTGACTGCGGCAGCGGCACGATGCGCGGTCTGCCCGAAGCAGAAGATCGGGGGTGAGGAGTCATGTAATGAGGAGGAGGGGGGAGAATGATCAAGAACTCAGGCATCAAGGCACAGTGCAACCCAACACCTACTGCAGACAAAAAAATGATATGATTATACGAGCATCGGCTCCGCGAAGAGGATGAGGAAGATCTGGAGAAGAGGGGGGGCATGAGGAAAGAGGAGGAAAGATACGGATGGGCGAAGGATGAGAGAGGAGCGAGGGAGGGAGGACTCGAGGAGGAAAGGAGGGAGAGGGAGGGGAAAGAGAGACATTCGGGGGAGGAGAAGAGAGAGAGAGAGAGAGCGAGAGAGAGAGAGAGAGATACAAGAGAGAGAGAGAGAACAACAAACAGAGATATATAACTATATAGCTAAAAATAACAAAGGGATCAGAGAGCAACATAATCAATCGAGAGAGAAGGGGTCAGAGACAAGGAGCACAACAATAATGAAGCGGCAGTGGCCCCAGCATCAGCAATGCGCAAGCAACGGGGCCGCCTCACGCGGGCGCACGTCTATGAACAGCGCCCCGTCCCCGTGGGCTGCCTCGGGCAAAGCGTGAAGGGGAGGGCACAGTCAGGGTGATGCCAGTCGCGCACAAGCGCCAAACCCAGCCTGGCCCATCCTGTGTTCAACGCCTTCCAATATCATTACCAGCGCGGGCCCCAACAAATACGTTCTGGCGATCTCGATGTGCATCCTGCGTGGTGTTATCTGAAAGGTGTAACAGATCCTGTGCAATGCGCGCAATGCAACCTATGTGGTACAATTAACGCTGATCGTATTCGCAAATGGCCACCACCAATGCTCCTACAAACACCCCACCCACCCACCCGCAACTTGTTGGCAAAACTCAAATGGGCAAAGATAACGACGATGACGATGATGCTCATGGCGACGGCGGAAAACTGATGGTGATAATACTGACGGTGGCAGTGATGACGCTGGCGATGATAACGACGATGGTGCTGGTGAGGAGCATGTAAAGTGTGCGCGCGCAGAAATCCAACAAAAGCGACTACATCGACGATGACGGTGATGGCGGTCGTGATGATGACGACGGCGGCAATGATGACACGGGAAATGATGCTAGTATTGGGGTTGAGGAGGATGATGAGGAACTGCACGCGTATTGGGAACCATTGGGTTTTCGTGTGTATTTGGATACACCTGTCTTGAAATGATCAGGACACACATGGCTTTGAAATGCTTCCGACGTTCTCGCGCGGCATCCATGGCCCGCATGAACATATTTGACAAGAGGTGGAGGGTGCGCTATGACAGTTGAACGTCTTCGGTATGCGCACACGTGCGGTCCGCGTTCGCTCATTTGCGAGAGTGGTTCAACACCTACGGTTGTCTTATGATGTCAGCGAGTGCGCGCTGAATCAAATGTTATTTGATAGCGTGTGGAATGTTGCGTCTTGATGTTGTAAGGACGCCCATGATTTTGAATGCTTAAGGCCTGCGCGCGGCGGCGTGCGCGTGTGGCCACAGGGAAACCATCGAAACCAAAGAAACCCAGGGCACCCTGGAGGCAAGCAGGGTGTTTCTTGGCATGGGTTTCCACTGTACGATGAAACAAATCTGGGGCGTGCTATGTGCAGTCGCGACGCAGCCCGGGGGTAGCTCAGAGGCGACCAGGGAAAGTTCACGATTCGACTGCAGGCAGCTGAACTGCGACATCGGCGAGCTTCTGATCAAACTAATATGATGTAGCCACGGGGTTACGGTGACCTGGTTATTACATGTCCGCTGGGGTGCTAAATGGTAGCCAGGGGTCTGCCACGGCACACCCCCAGCACGCTGGAGCGTGGTAGAACCCCCTGGGCTACTGGATAAAAGGTTCTGTAGTGCTCGCCCCGAGACGAGACAGGCAGCGCCTCAAGGGATTGCTAATGAGCCCAAGCAGCCCTCAAGAAAACCACACGCCACATGATGCTGCCGAGAGATATGAAACCACAGAGATTTACAAGAGCCTCTTCAAGACTTAATGTGAAGCTTGTCACCGTTTTCAGCTCCAAGCGGAATCGCGAAGCCCCACAATGCCCACCCCAAGCAATCACCGAGAGGCCTCGAGACAACCACAAAACTGCTCAGGACGTGTACATGGTATCCCCCAAAGAGTCCAAGACCAGCCCAACAAAACGAACAACCCATAGACGACACAACGAACCTTCAGACGATACCAAGCATGGTTTTACCGAGCCTCCCTGGGAGAGTCCGCTATCAATATCGAAACTCAAACGGCCCAAGGCTGACCTCCGGGGGGATGCGAAGGCCCCGTATAACCATTATAGAACCGAAGCAAACCTATGGAAGGGACATCCTGGTGCCTTCTCGACACTGCATTTGCATGGTGGAGGGATTCGCAGCAGGCAACTGGATACTGGTGGCATGGCTACGGCGTGTTCGCGCGCATACAACAGCCATCCAGTCGCTGTGGGACAGACCAACCCGAACTGACTACGCACTATCTACGAGGCAAATGTCGGGTGGTCATGAGACAATAGCCGCGAGTCAACGACACGGAATTTGCAACATACTCAGAGCGTGCCTACTGGCATGAGATAACTCACTCGCTTGGCAATGATCTGGCGATTCTGACCGAAAGATCTGGCATCTTGGTTTCTGGATTAGCTAACACGCAGAAAGCATCTATACACCACCACCGTGCCAGGCCAGGGCCATCCTGGGCCCTAGGATGGTGTATACGCCCTCCTCGCCGAGCCAGGAGGGTCTATACACCATCCTACGGCCCAGGATGGCCCTGGTCTGGCACGGTGGTGGTGTATAGATGCCTTCGTCGGAGCTAAAGCTCTACCACCACTGAGCCACCCCTGCCGTGCCAGAGTGCGAAGCTGGCACCGTAGCAAAGGCAGTGAATCTCCGTCTCAGAATTCTGCGGGGCCCTGGGAAACACGAATCGGCGGCCTCTGACTGCGAGGGACTGGGGACGCCCTGTTGCACACGATGGTGTGTCACATGTTGTTCTATGTAGGCGCCACGCGATTGCAGGCGAAAGCCGCCAGTCATACTGGGAACGCCAGACATGCCAACCTGCCGCCGCTGGACTTACATCGTACCATGGTGCCCAGATCCGCCGCAGTATCAACGTATGCGTGAGGTTGATTACGCATGTGCTCGCCCTTCCAAGTCCCCGTGGACCAGCAGGCAGTACGCCAGCGAGTCCGTCGCGAGCCCGACCCTGGCACCACCCGCTGAGGCGGTGTCGCGTTCAAGCCAGGGGTGTCGGCAGCATGGCGGATGTGCATATATACCTATATATATACAGATACATATATATACGTGTATATATATATGTACACATGCATACAAATACTTGTGACGTCCAAGACCCAGATAGCGGAGCACTCCAAAGCGCGCGAAAGCCTGTGGCGAACGCTTGCAAGGACGCTTGAAAGACTCTGGGGAGCTGGCATGCTTGAGAAAGGATTTTCGCGGGAACTCCCGAAGCGCTGCAAAGAGCTGCGGAAAAAGGCTTGCAGCAAACGTTATTGGGAACAAGTAGGAAAACGCTTCCCGGACACGCTGCGATCTCACAGGAATT